GTGAGATTTGGTGATGCTGTTATTGTGCTGCACATTGTTCTCCTTGCTGGAGGCTCTGACAGTAAGCAAAACTTTCCAAGGTGGCTACCTCCACACAGTGCAGAGGCGCAGGCATGGGGTAAAGATCAGTTGCAGCGAGACCACAAGAAATACTGGTGACTTGGCCTGTCCTTCTGTGTGTTGGTGATTTATGGAGCTCACATTTAAAGGAGCAGTAGAGCCAACATTTTTCTGGCCCTACTTCTCCTATGAATCACAGGAATGCAGTTTTGCTCTGCGCTCCTGAGATCTGTTTTCAGCCGTCATCAGGCTTTAGCTGGTCCAGGCTCTGGAAAAATCCCAACATTATTGGCCGCCCAGCAGCCTGACTGGTAGCTGGCTCAGCCTCCTAGCTGTGCCACGGAGAGACTAAGCCAGCTGCTCCTTCCCCTCAGTCTGGTGCTCGAGTGAAGACTGGAGGGGCAGACCAAAGAGCCAGTGACTGACAGTTTTCAGTTCAGAGCTGGCGGGGGACAGATACAGCATCTGATCGATGGTGCATCCATCTAGGCGATTTATAATTTTTTTTTTTTTTTTTTTTTTAAAGCCCTGTACTCTTTTGAAACAGATGTGCCTGGTAGATACCTGATATTTTATATTTACAGGTGATTTTGGTCTCGACTGACATTCTTTTTTTAGGGCTTTTAATCTTTAAACAGAAGGTAGGAAAGGCATGCATCCTCTGCTTTGGCCCTCAGATTTGGATTAGTTTACAGTTCGTGTACTTGGTCTTTTCTAAGCATGCTTCTGGTATGCTTTATCATTCTTTAGCTGCAGAAAAGTTCCTTGGAATTAAGCCTTGACAAATGAAGTCTCCCCTGAGCACACCTCTGGTATTGTTGCTATGTATGAGAACAAAATGAACATGTATTTGTTCTTGATCTTGTAAGATGATTTGATAAGTTGTGGCTGATATAAGACTCTAGGACTTCATTATTAATAAAATGTGTATTTTATGAATTGTTGAAAAAATAGTTAAGTTTCCTTTTGTTTAAATCTACTTAGTTATGGTTCCATTGAACTGAGGTAAAAATCGTGCTTTGGGGTCATCAAAATATCTGCTCATATAATGTTATGCCAAAATAAGCTCAAAATGTTCCTGAATCCACCGTTTATAATTGGGCAGTCATAAAAGTTTATTAATTGCCCTTCCTTTACATGTTATAAAGTAATCCTCCAAAGGCCAAATCTTGTTCGTTGTGATTTGACCTCTCATCTCTGCCACTTGTTGAGTGAGTTCATTTTCTGGAATGCTGTGGTCACAACCCACAGGTTGTGTTTTTATACAGAAATACATATCTGCTTTAGGAGACATCATTTTTCATTGCATATCTTTAGGGTCCATGCATGCTGGCTTAAACGCTGCACCTAAAGGAGTTTAGCGTTATGCTTGTGGAAGCAACTAATGTTTTCCCAGGCCACCATCTTTTTCCTTTGATCAAGTCATCCGGCACCCCCTATCCTCCAACAGCAGCCGGAATCCACACAATCTGGTTACTATTCCTCTTCTTCCTAGCACCAGCCTCCCCTTTTCCTGTGCCCTCTGGAATGCCTGCTCTGTCTGTAACAAACTCACCTCTGTCCATGACCTTTTTATCACAAACTCCTTTAACTTGCTTGCAATTACGGAAACCTGGCTTTATGAATCTGACTTTCCCTCTCCTGCTACCCTCTCCCATAGTGGTCTCCTCTGGACTCAGTCTCCCAGGCCTAGTGGACGGAAAGGAGGTGTAGTAGGAATGGCGACCACTACAGCCCTGGCAGACAATACCAGATGCCTCAAAAAACATAGCCATGTTCTGGAGCGTTTGTGGCGTAAGACTAGGACCGAGCAAGACTTCGACCATTATAAATCTGCCCTTCAAAAATACAATTCTGGTCTCCACACTGCCAAACAGACCTATTTAATTACTCTCATTAACACCCTCTCACACAATCCCCGTCAACTCTTTTGTACCTTTAACTCTCTACTTCGTCCTTCTTTACCTCCACCCACTAACTCACTGCCCAGGAGATCGCTAATCACCTAAAAAATAAGATTGATACAAATCGTGACGAGATCTCCACTGTACAGATAACTCCCTCACCCTACACTCCTTGTCCACCTGCACAATATATACTTCCCTTGTTTAACCCAGCTACTATAGAGGAGGCTGTTAAACTGTTTTCTAAAGCCCACCTAACCACCTGCCCTGAACCCTGTTCCCTCGCAAATACTACGGTCACCCTCTGGCTCTATCCTTCATTTTTTAACTCATATCTTCAATCTCTCCCTTTCTACTGGCATCTTCCCAAACTCTCTAAAACATGCGCTAGTCTCCCTATACTTAAAAAAGCCACACTGGACCCCGCCAATCTTCGCAATCTAAGACCCATCTCCTTACTTCCTTTTGCCTCCGAACTCCTTGAACGTCTAGTCTACAACCGGCTGAGCTGCCACCTTATTGAAAATAACTTTCTCGATCCCCTTCTGTCTGGATTTTGCCCGCAACACTCCACAGAAACGACTCTCGTAAAACTCACAAACGACTTATTAACTGCTAAAACCAATAAACCAATTCCGTACTCTTGCTCTTGGACCTCTCCGCTGCTTTTGACACAGTTGACCACCCCATCCTCCTCACAAAACTCTATTTACTGGGTCTCCGTTACTGTACTCTCCGTTGGTTTCAATCTTACCTGTCTCACCGCACCTTCAGTGGCACTTACAACTCTACTTCCTCCTTTCCTACTCCTCCTATTGTCGGGGTCCCCCAAGGTTCTGTCCTTGGACCTCTCCTATTCTCGATCTACACTTCTTTCTTGGGTCAGCTGATAGCTTCCCATGGTTTCCAATACCATTTATATGCTGATGACACACAAATCTATCTCTCTACTCCTCAGCTCACCCCATCAGTTTCCTCACGTATCACCGATTTACTAACAAACATATCAGACTGGATGTCACACCACTTTCTAAAACTCAATCTATCCAAAACTGAGCTCATAGTATTTCCTCCCCCACGTGCCTCTTCCCCTGATTTCTCGATCAGGATCAATAGCACCACTATCAACCCATCCCTGCATGCCAGGGTGCTAGGGGTAACCCTGGATTCTGAACTATCTTTTCAGGCCCACATCCAATCCCTGTCCAAATCATGCCGCCTCAACCTCCGCAACATCTCTAGAATATGCCCCTTTTTAACCAATGATACTACTAAGCTCCTAATTCACACCCTGGTAATCTCTCGCCTCGACTACTGCAACTCCCTCTTCATTGGCTTACCTTTACATAGGCTGTCCCCCTCCAGTCCATCATGAATATTGCGGCCAGGCTCATCCACCTTACCAACTGTTCAGTGTCTGCTACCCCTCTCTGCCAATCCCTCCACTGGCTTCCATTCGCCCAACGAATTAAATTCAAAATACTAACAACAACTTACAAAGCCATCCACAAATCTGCCCCCAGCTACATCACCAACCTGGTCTCAAAATATCAACCAAACCGCTCCTCCCAAGACCTTCTCTCGAGCTTCTCCCATCCTATAGAACTCCCTACCCCAATCTGTCTGGCTGTCTCCTAATCTATCAACCTTTAGACGATCCCTGAAAACCTTTCTCTTTAAAGAGGCCTATCCTGCTTCTACCTTGTAAACCACCATTTATTTCCTCCATCAGCTCATCCCCCCCACAGCTATTACTCAACCCCTCCTCCTAGATTGTAAGCTCTAACAAGCAGGGCCCTCTGTTTCATCTTGTACCAAATTGTATTGTAATGTCTACCTTCATTTTGTAAAGCGCTGCGTAAACTGTTGGCACTATATAAAGCCTGTATAATAATGTTCTTATGTGTCCATGCACATTGAGTAGTCTAGAGGTGTTTTTTTTAAGCTCAGCATTTATAGGCCGAAAAAAACCCTTCTGTTTTGCATTTTTTTAGAGTGTTTTTCTGGCAGAAAAAAAAAAACGTAAACACTCCTAAATGCTTGTACAAAAACACTCAGAATTAGCGTTTTTTCCTGCCAAGAGTACTGGCGTTTTTTAAGCCACTGTGCATAGAGCCTTAGTTTATCACTGGAGCCAGCTTTTATAGTGAATGTTAGCGTTTTGGCGCTCTCTGCAATTAGAGATATCTGGGTTTTTGCTTATGTAGGCTATTCTATGAGAAAAATAGTACTAGAACTTTGGTTTTCAGACTGAAATCATTCATTGCCATCTAACCTATTTGACACTAGAGCGTGCATGGAAGACTGGTGTGTTGGCATTCACAATTGAGTGTTTTGTAGCTCGCAGCTCGAAGTTTGAAGATGCTCAACAAGCAAAATCCCTTTAATTTCAAAGGCCTCTGTTCACATCTGAGTGTGTACATGGGCTTTTGAAATGAAAGGGATTTCGCTTGTTGAGCGTTTTCGAGCTTTGATCTAAAATAACACTCAGGTATGAATGCAGTCTAAGTTCCATTTGGGGATGAATGAATATATGATTCAGTGCACAAAAGCTACATGATATGTTGATTCTGTATAAATGCAGAAAATAGATAAACCACAAAATGGACAGTTTCATCTACAGAAAAAGCAGTTAGATATGTGCCAAATAATGTTTGCTAAAATCAGTACAAGGCAGCAAAAAAATGATTTTGGGTCTATATTTTTTATCTTGGGTGTATTTTAATCACTATCCTACTGGACACTTATACCACCTTCCTGCCCAGGCAAATTTTCAGCTTTCAGTGCTGTCGCACTTTGAATGACAATTGCGCGGTCATGCAACACTGTACCCATATAAAATTTTATCTTTTTTTTTAGACCGTTAGAGCTTTCTTTTGATAGTATTTAATCACCTCTGGGTTTTTTTTGTTTTTTGCTAAACAAACCAAAAACAACTGAAAATTTTGAAAAAAAGTTTTTATGTTTTTGTTTTAAAATTTTGTAAATAAGTGATTTTTCTTCACTGATATGCGCTAATGAGGCTGCAGTGATGGGCACTGATAGGTGGCACTGATAGGCATCATTGATGGGCACTGAAAGGCAGCACTCATATATGGCACTGATAGGCGGCACTGATAGGTTGCACTGACTGGCACTGATAGGTGGCACTGACTGGCAGCTCAGATGAGCACTGATATGTGGCACTGATATGTGGTATTGATGTGGCACTGATGGGCACTGGCAAGTGGCACTGACAGCTGGCATTGATGGACACTGACAGGTGGCACTGCTGGGGCTACACTGATCATCAGGGCACACTGATCATCAGTGCCTTGATGATCAGTGTACATGTCCCCTCCGAGGAATGCCGATTACCGTCTCTCTCCACTCAAGCTGTCAGCGTGACAGCTCGTGAGGAGAGAAATGACGATAACCGGCATTTCCCTATTTACATGAGATCAGCTGTGATTGGACATAGCTGATCACATGACCGAGCTGCGCTCTTCGGCTCTTTCCGTTGATCGGTAAACTGCTGTGTCTGAAGGACACAGAGCACCACCGATCACCGTGCTGCGTGCTCCCGGAGCCGTGCATGCACGGTTAGAATGGGAGGACGTCATACGACGTCCTCCCAGAATGAGAGAATCACCTTGTGCCTGTCATTGCCTTACAGTCAGGTCCATAAATATTGGGCCATCGACACAATTCTAACATTTTTGGCTCTATACACCACCACAATGGATTTGAAATGAAACGAACAAGATGTGCTTTAACTGCAGACTGTCAGCTTTAATTTGAGGGTATTTACATCCAAATCAGGTGAACGGTGTAGGAATTACAACAGTTTCCATATGTGCCTCCCACTTGTTAAGGGACCAAAAGTAATGGGACAGAATAATAATCATAAATCAAACTTTCACTTTTTAATACTTGGTTGCAAATCCTTTGCAGTCAATTACAGCCTGAAGTCTGGAACGAATAGACATCACCAGACACTGGGTTTCATCCCTGGTGATGCTCTGCCAGGCCTCTACTGCAACTGTCTTCAGTTCCTGCTTGTTCTTGGGGCATTTTCCCTTCAGTTTTGTCTTCAGCAAGTGAAATGCATGCTCAATCAGATTCAGGTCAGGTGATTGACTTGGCCATTGCTTAACATTCCACTTCTTTCCCTTAAACTCTTTGGTTGCTTTTGCAGTATGCTTTGGGTCATTGTCCATCTGCACTGTGAAGCGGCGTCCAATGAGTTCTGAAGCATTTGGCTGAATATGAGCAGATAATATTGCCCGAAACACTTCAAAATTCATCCTGCTGCTTTTGTCAGCAGTCACATCATCAATAAATACAAAAGAACCAGTTCCATTGGCAGCCATACGTGCCCAAGCCATGACACTACCACCACCATGCTTCACTGATGAGGTGGTATGCTTAGGATCATGAGCAGTTCCTTTCCTTCTCCATACTCTTCTCTTCCCATCACACTGGTACAAGTTGATCTTGGTCTCATCTGTCCATAGGATGTTGTTCCAGAACTGTGAAGGCTTTTTTAGATGTTGTTTGGCAAACTCTAATCTGGCCTTCCTGTTTTTGAGGCTCACCAATGGTTTACATCTTGTGGTAAACCCTCTGTATTCACTCTGGTGAAGTATTCTCTTGATTGTTGACTTTGACACACATACACCTACCTCCTGCAGAGTGTTCTTGATCTGGCCAACTGTTGTGAAGGGTGTTTTCTTCACCAGGGAAAGAATTCTTCGGTCATCCACCAAAGTCTGGTGTTGCTGAGCTCACTGGTGCGTTCCTTCTTTTTAAGAATGTTTCAAACAGTTGTTTTGGCCACGCCTAATGTTTTTGCTATCTCTCTGATGGGCTTGTTTTGTGTTTTTTCAGCCTAATGATGGCTTGCTTCACTGATAGTGACAGCTCTTTGGATCTCATCTTGAGAGTTGACAGCAACAGATTCCAAATGCAAATAGCATACTTGAAATGAACTCTGGACCTTTTATCTGCTCATTGTAATTGGGATCATAAGGGAATAACACAGACCTGGCCATGGAACAGCTGAGAAGCCAATTTTCCCATTACGTTTGGTTCCTTAACAAGTGGGAGGCACATATGCAAACTCAAATAAGTATTTGAATCCCCAAGCAAAACATGACTTCGTGCTGAATGGAGAAGCCCTTGTTGGCCAGCACAGAGGTAAGACTTATTTTTATAGTTGGTTACCAGGTTTGCACACATCAGGAGGGATTTTGGTCCACTCTTCTTTACAGATCTTCTCTAAATCCATAAGGTTTCTTGCCTGTCACTTGGCAGCTCGAAGTTTCAGCTCCCTCCATACATTTTCTATAGGATTAAGGTCTGGAGACTGGATAGGCCACTCCATGACCTTAATGTGCTTCTTCTTGAGCCACTCCTTTGTTGCCTTGGCAGTATGTTTTGGGTCATTGTCATGCTGGAAGACCCATCCACGACCCATCTTCAGTATTCTGGGAAGAAGGTTCTCATCCAAGATTTTACAATAAATGGCCACTCAATGCGGCAAAGTCGGTCTGTACCTTTAGCATAGAAACGGCCCAAAGCATAAGCTGTGTTAATGCCACAGAGCTAAATTTTGGTCTCATCTGACCACAGCACTTTCTCTCAATCCTTCTCTGATTCATTTAGATGTTCATTTGCAAATATCAGACAGGTCTGTACATGTGCCTTCTTGTGGAGGGGGGGGGACCTTACAGGCACTGCAGGATTTCAGTCCCCGGCAGCGTATAGTGTTACCAATGGTTTGTTTAGTGACTGTGGTCCCAACTGCCTTGAGATCATTCACAAGCTCCTCCCGTGTAGTTCTGGGCTGATCCCTCACTTTCTTTATGATAATCCTTAACCTATGAGGCAAAATCTTGCATGGAGCTCCAGAACTAGGGCGATTGGTGGGTATTTTGTATTTCTTCCATTTGCGATTAATCTCTCCAACAGTTGCTCCTTCTCACCAAGCTTCTTGCTAATGGACTTATAGCCCATTCCAGCCTTGTGCAGGTCTACAGTCTTGTCCCTGACAACCTTTGACATCTCTTTGATCTTGGCTATGATGGTTAGGTTTGAATGGAAGAGAGAGATTCTGTGGACAGGTGTCTTTTATCCGCATCACGAGTTGTCTTAAATTGACAGGACTAATCTGTGTACCACATGAGCCAGTCTGTGGGAGCCAGAATTATTGTTTGGTAGGGGATCAAATGCTTATTTTACTCACTGAACTGCAAATCAATTTATAACATTTGTGTCATGTTTTTTCTGGATTTTTGGTTGATACTCTGTCTCTATCATTTAAAATACACCTATGACAAAAACTATAGACCCTTCAGTTTTTTGTAATTGGGCAAACTTGCAAAATCTGCAGGGGATCAAATAATTATTTTCCCCACTGTACCTATGGTTTTGTATTGAGAGCCTCCAAAGCAGTAGTGGTATTTATCTTAGAACCCCAAGATTGTCTTTTAGTACTGCTGCACTACATAAGGCTCGCTTTATAATTGTTCTTGTGTTTGTTACTGCCTGAGGAGGCAGTTTTCATAAAGAAAAAAGAAATCTGGTGGTATTAATACAGTTTTTTTTTTTTAGTCAGGATATGCCTCATCATGCCACACAAATCTAACCTTTTCTCAATTTGTTTTGTATATATAGTCTCAGAAGCAATAGACCACCCCACAATGTTTTAAATTCATAGCCCACACAGTTTACCTTACATTGTGAATAGAGTAATAAATGGAAGCCCAGTTCTGCAGGGTCCATGCTATATCCTATATTTGTAATGTGTCCTTCTATGGTTTAATTTTCACAATTCAGTCCCGTAAACCTTTCTCTCTGCTGATATATACAGAGTATTCTGTGTGGTTTAGTCTGTTACTTCTCAGTGCTAATCCTTTTAAACACTCAAGCTATATTTAATGAAATACATTAAACCACTTGTGTTTTTTTTAAACTATCCAAATGAATTAAAGATTCTTTTCCAGCCAGCATAAAGTGATATGTATCTCTCAGCATGTGCTGTAATTTAGAAGGTACATTGCCATTTTGATGCCATAACTAACATCACATCTAGTTTGCCAAAAGCAGTAATATATTCCATGAAGTTCACAGCTATGAATCTCCAGCTTTAATACATTTCTTTTGGAATGGATGTCCATATACTAGAGTATCTATGGTACTTTTAAATTAGTTTAGTCTGCATAATAGGGACTTCAATTTTTTCTTTTTTTTTTTAGCTTTAAAGTAGGGCCACCTCCCAGTTCAGTGCCATTCAGTTAATTCTACTTCCTGTCTTTAAACAATTGTGTTGTGTATCAAAGTGCCACATGCTGGTTTAGCAAATGACCTCGAATACACAGCTTAGTCTTTTAGATATTAAAGTTTACTACACTTTAGCTTTCTGCAGCATGCTGTTATATAAATCTGATAAAGATTTTACATAGAGCAATGGTGGAGTGAGAGTTAATTTGAAATTATCTGAAGGAACAAGCACAAACATTTTTCTCGTATGATACAAGAATGAACGATCAGTACAGTACTTGTCCGGAAAAAAAAAAAACAGGTTGCATGGCACTGCTTAGATAAAACACAGGTTCACTTTAAAGGTGCAAACTCTGAGGCTTTTATTCTGATCCTACTGTATAAATTTCTAATTATCACAATAAAGTGCTCACTATCCCAGGTCAAGTCAGTAGTAGTACTCTCTATAGCCAGAGATAACAGCTACAGCTGGGTAATCAACCAGTATTTTACTACTTCTATTGATAAGTGCTAATCCCGCCTTAAAGATGTATGCCCCATTTTTTTTTTTATAAACTTTACTGTGCCTTAGTGTTGATCTCCTATAGCCCCTTTCTAACCACTTCCTGTCCACAGACCGGTACCACTTCCTGTCCTGTCCACAGACAGGTACCAATGCAAAAAATTTAACGAGTGACCGGTATTATTCTTTCTGAAGCCATCGTCCATTGTGATTGATGAGGATCTGCATTGCTGGGCAATGTGATTAACAATGGATTTATATTGTGTTTTTTATGGTCTTTTTATTAGGGACTTGTCAAAGTGTCAGTGTGGTAATTTACTAATTACATTTTTTTTGTGAATGAGTAGGTGTACTACATACCCCTGTCCACATGTATGCACTCTTATTTTATAGGAGCTTTTAGATTCTGATATCCCCCTATCTGCAGACCCCCACAGACACCTGGCTAGGGCTGTGGGGAAGAGGCCCCTATCCTCATCAACATGGGGACAAGGTATTTTGTCAGGGGAGGGGGGCCCCCACTTACAAGATAACCTCCCAATGTTGACTTTCACCTGTCAGCCAGGAATCCCCAACTGACAGTTGAAAGGACTGAGTAGGTATATGTCTTTGTTGTCAGGTCCAGCTGAGCAGGAAGCTGTCACATTTAGCGGCGGTAGTAATACCACTGTTAGAAGTATGACTTCTAGATGCAGCTGGAGGTTTGACATGTTTAACAACCATTTAGTTCGACAATGGATTTTCAGAATTG